GGGGGGAGGCATCCGGCCCTGGCGTGGAGCGGGCTGGCCCAGGAGCTTCAGCCCCTTTTCAGGGCGCTTCTGGAAGTGCAGCTCTTCCTGGCGACCGCTGGCGTCGCGGATCCGTCGAGTGTGCCTGCCTCACGTGGCCGGTTTGCATTAATTGAAGGTGTTTTCTGCCCGTGCGGCTTCCCGTGCTCCTGCCCAGTACTTGGAGGAGGGAATGGCGGTGGCTTGAGCTGGTGGGCTGTCCGAGTGGCACGCTAAAGCACAAAGGCCTACCTAGTCACAGTAGTTTGCTGCACTCATCTAATAGATGTGACTCTGCCGGAGAAAGTTGTTGCCCTGCAGTGGAAGGACAACTGCTTCTGGGTTTGCAGCAAAGTTCTACAGCTGTCTGGCACTTGCTCAAAAGCAATTGGCTTTTGGTAGGATGAGTAGCCACAACCTCTGTCCCTTGTGTCCAAAGTGAAAGATGACACTTAAACCACTTTTTCTGCCTAGCAGGAGTAATGAAAGACATTTAGGTGTGTGCAGCATACGATTTGTATTTGCATCACCGCACATCTTATTCTTACCATACTTGTTTATCTCCCTTTTTAATTTGGTTTCTTTTTTTCTTTATTGTTTAATAGACTCTACAGTTGGTAGAAGCTTCTTTGGGCAGATACTGCCTAGCTCCTAAGTTCTGTTGGTTTGGCTGTCAGTATTTACATTTTCACAGAGTTGTGTTTTCAGTGATTGCAGCACTTTCTAAAGTGCTGTCTAGAAGTTAGAAATTGGTGTAATATAAACCATGTGGTATCTCAGTCAGTGTCCTGCTTAACAGCAGCCAGTGCAACTGTGCTTTTAAAGAAAATGCAAGAAAACCCAACATATGCATCAGAATAATAAGAATCCATATTGGATTCTTCCAGATAACCTGGTTCTAATGCATGAAGGTTTATGGATTTTCCCTTGTTTTGGTTTTCTTTTTCCTAATAATAAGATTTATACCTATAGGAAAACATTGTAGTTATTAATCACACTGATTTTCATCCG